CCCCCGCGGTACACCGTCAATGCTGACAAGTCGCTATATCTCCATACATCTATCATCGATGAGAGTGAGAGTCTATGTACTCGAGCGTGTCCCAAATCGTTGGTCGTTTATTGTATTATAATAACTAGCGGTTATGATGATACAAGAAACAAACAGCGATTTGATTATTAACCACAACTTCCTTTCGGTATGCGATCGCCACCTGTGAATTGATGTTTGGTTTTCAAGCACTCCCACTCCGCGGAAACACAAACAGAGGTAGAGTTTAATTCCTGTTGTTCCAGTCTGATCAAAATCCTGGACATCCGCACAGCACTAACGGTATCAACTCAACCAAGTGATCATAACAAGATGTGTAGCTAGCATGGGCCATGTTACACAGTTCAGAATCATGTGAAACGAACACTCAGGAAAACCTACGATCGGGAAATTAGATCATATCTTCCAATGAGTCATTTACCTGTAGTGTGCCTCCCGGCTCAACTTTCTCCTTCTCGCATAGCTCATGCATAGTCTCCCGTCTCTCGGCCGATATCTCCGTATTAGCGCAATCTATTTCGACTCTAATCCCCGACCAAGGCCGTTGTGATATTTCCTTCAATGCTGGGTGCTCGGCTCGAATGATCCTTTCGAAGACCTACCGCTGCCCTCTAGTCCAAGCAGACCTCCACAATGAGCACCTCATGAGCCGTCCATGAGCTGAGTACAGCTCTCTTCCAACTCTCCTCCCCGGACTGGACGTCCATCACTATGGGGTACACGGCTTTGAGCTCGGTAGTCGTCGCAAGGCTGATATGCCCGTCACTGAAGAGGCGTTGATTGAGTTGTTACTCATTCATTGGCGGTGGCAGAGGCTCTTCCTTTAGATGCTCCTTCATCCACTTCTTGAACTGCTCGAGGGAGATGTAATGGTCGTCCTGGCCCCTTATAAACACACGATTAACATAAGCTTCCGCATAGGTCTGCAGGAGGTTCTCGCTGAGTTCCGAGCCGTCGGGCTGGCCTCCGAACTGAGTCGAAGTCTCATTGACCATTGTACGTAGTCGCGACCTACGAGCTCTCTCTCTGCAGCCCATTTATCCTCCACAGCCCCTGTGTACTGGATCGGTACGAACAGAGAGGAACAGCTGGGAGCCAGCTTGGAGGCTACTCGTAAGTGGCTTTTCACTGCCTCCACCAGGTCCCTGTGGTGGACGTGGTCTTCATACCAACACTCTCCTCCCTACCATCGGGAGACTCTACCATCCTCGTCGAGGTCACAAAGGAGGAATAGGAGGTCAGCCCAGTCCGCGGGGTCGGCTGAAATGCGCAACTCCCCTCAACGACGACGATTGCTTTCACCCACCGGATCGCATCACTCGGCGCATCGCCAAGATCTCGTAGAGGTTGGGATCCATGTTCGAACCTCCCGCGATGCGGAGAACCCTCCTGGCCAGCTGTGATCCCGCCAGATAGTTCAGGTTGAGCAGCTCCAGCGCTAGGAATCCTCCTGATCTCGAGGACTCCTCCCTGCCCCTCCGTATGGCTCTCGTAACGGCCCGATACAGCTGCTTCCTCGACATCGAATCGATAACCTAACCCTCAATTGTAGACGGTGGACGTTACTCCTACCAGCTCTTTGTCCCCACTCTTGGCCGCCTCCAGTATCGACACCAGCACTTGTTCTTGATCCAAGCCGCTCAATGACGGGACTCTTCCATGATAGAGCAGACCCACCCGTCTGCCGAAACAACAATGATCCAACCAGTAAGGCAGCACACCTCTCTGCAAATGATAA